TGAGGTTTACCGGGGCTGCCGACAAAGGGCTTTGATGTCGACAGGGGGAACGTCCAGACTAGCGCGCGAGCCGACAAACAGCTGATAAGCTGTTTGTCGGCTCAGCGCGGCAGCCATGTAAATTTAAATGAAGCGGCGATTATTTAAATCGCCACTTCATTTTACTATGTCTGGTAGCCTAATCTACATGCCTCTGGCGACAGAGGCATGTAGTCTAGACATACCCACAAATTTACTCCGGAAGATTTTTACAGTATATGCTCAGTACTCAGTTTTTAAATTAACTATTTTTCATACCAAACTAAGTGACTTATTCTCAATGAAAATTGCACTCATTTGTTTTCAAACAGAAGCAGTTTTTTCCTGCCACCCTAGCTAAAAGTTTCTAAGCACGGTTACAACTTTATGCATTCTGAAAGGTTGGTTTTTTTTCCTTCTGTCTTTTTAATTTTCTTTTCCCTTTTAACCTTGCTGAATTAATATAGCTGAAGATATTTTGGTCAAACTTTCAAAGAATAGTATCCATGCAGGTGAAGCATGGAAAATGTCAATTCCAGATATCAGTGTTTTGGAACATTCTGCACATGTAAACATAAAATATTATGTTCTTTTGAAGCTTTTAACTATTGTGTGTGTCATATGCAGGAACCACTTTAAAATGATGGTGAGACTATGTGCTTTCATTTGGTATATTTCTAGTTTGACATGGAAAGCTCAGTAAATATTTTCTTTGGCTCTGGGAAGAGAACAGTGTTCATTTCTCATAGCACCTTTCAAACTTGAAGAACACAGAATACAACATAAAGCCCAATTAAGCAAATTAATGAATAAATATATAAATAAAAATTTCAACCTTATAATCTCCCTACAATCCTGAAACAGGCCTGCAAATTTGTATCTTATTCTTTATTTTTGGCTGTTTGTTTTTCACTTGGATTCATCAAATTGTTGTTGGCTTAGTTTTCTCTTTTGAAGGGAAAAATAGTTTTGATCTCTTGGGTCTTGTTAACTGGAGAGCGATCAAAGCTGTGGCTTTTCAGCTGTTTTGTGTAAGTTAATGAAAAAGTCAGTAGTATTCTGGATTATGGAATAAGTGAGTTCTTAAAAGGGAGGCCTGTTTCGGCAAATAAATGTAGAGGAATCTGAAATGTCTCTACATCCCTTACCATCTCTTTAAAATTGTAAATCTCATTTGCATTTAGACAATTTGGGGTCAGAGCTGACGGCTGAACTAATTTAATGAAATAATTTGTCTTTCAGTCTAGTCAAACTTCTGTGTAGGCAGAAAATGTCTGATGTAGTGCTTGGGTGAGATATATATTTACTACAGGGATATACTACAGAAATATCCTGACAAGACAAAATCATTCTTGTTTCCCACCTGCCGCCTTTGCAGGGGCAACCATTGTTACCATCCCTTTCACCAGCTTTCTCAATGGATGACTCTTGAGGCACCACAGGAGCATGTGTGGAAGATTGGGGTTCCACCCTCCAACTGGATACAATTGGCAAAGAGACAGATGGTCCTCCTTAGCCAGCTGATCCATCCAACTGGTAATATTGTAGACCATGGAAATCTACCTTAGACACCAGGATTGGTACTGGAGACATATTTGCCATCCTCTGGACAGCCACAAACACCCCCAATGCAATATTCAGAAGATGAAAGTCATCCATTGTGGGAACGATCGTGTCATCTTCATGGGACAAAATGTTTACTTTTTTTCCTTTGGAAATACCAGGAACTCATGAACAGGATGGCTGCAGAACTAGAGATTCAACTTGAGGAAGTCCAAGAACCTCACCACAGTTTACTGGACATACTTCAGCATTCTGGTCCCTCTCCATCAATGAGGCTATTACAGATCCAGCAAGGACAATGTGGCCTATTCCTGCTTCGTGCATTCCTACGTTAAGAAGGCCAAGAAGTGCTACTTAATCCCATTTGGTGGCAGGGAGGTGGATTTTTTTGTTCCCTTAACCACTGCATAACTCTTGTCTACAACAAGCTCCCAAGTAACACCAGTCAGAGGATACTCTCTCTACTAATAGACACAAGCAACTTATCCTTGGAGGGAGAAAGGACACCTATTCCATCTCCCTCCAGTTAACAACCCCAAATTATTCAGGTCTACTTGGTCAAATGTTTTACTAATTTATAACAAGATTTTTTTCAAATTTAAGAACAAGCTCCCTAAGGAGGATACGTTCTGCTTCAAGGCATTAGTGGGTAAGAGCATATTGGTGGCCAAAGCTTCCATCCAAGCTGTGCTGGAGATGGTGGATAGTTCATCTGGAGGAATGGCTACTGTGACTGTTATGAGGAGACACTGGGGGCTGCAATCCTTAGGATTTTCCTAAAGAGGTGCATCTGCTTTGCAACATTATCAGCCTATTCCACGAGACGACAAATGAGTCTCTCCTCTCCCTTAAAAATGTGATAACACTTTGCTTGCTGGACATTTATACTCCTTCCCCTATGAGAAGGGGGGAGTAAAAA